AAGTACAATAATAGCAAGCGTTCCATACGCGTTGAAGATACCAGACGAAATGAAGTGGCCGTGTCTAATTTTATGACTTGATTGCACACCAGGAATATTGTTAAACACAGCAACGATGTAAACAAATTTTGAAACTCCTTTATATAACAGCGTCAACAGCCTGCAGTGCTGTGTTGTACACATCTTGCAAAGAGAAAATGGAATTACGAATGAAAGTTTATGTAACTAANTCATCGCAAGGCCGCTACCTGCATGTAACTAATGCTGTACATATAAACATAACCAATTGTGAGATTTGAGATTCTCAGGACGTTCAGTATGAATAGTATCTTAACCGGATGTGACACCGTGTAGTGTAGTAGAAATATACAGACGTTTCGGAGGAACATATTGCCTCCATTTTCATTGTCGAAGAGTAAGCCAAGCAAGTAGAGACTACACGTCGTCACAGTCCAGAAGCGTGTATTTTGAATTCGTAAGTTTCCTGAAATACCAATGGTACTTGCACCAGTGGTATGCAGCGTAGGGTTCGCAGGCCACTGTGTGTAGAATATTTCTGCGTATACCTGCACGTTGATATTAGGAACGGAACTGGAACTAGGTTATCCAAGAGGTTCCCGTTCATGTGATGACCCCAATTCAGCCTGCTTAGTTCGAAATATGAAAACCTTGATTTCAGCCAATTGCATCTTATTTCTTAGTATGATCGCAGAAGAAATATCGTTACGTAATATAAGTTGAGCACTTAATTCACAAGCAGGGCCCATAAAGGAGCTCCATTTCATTGACGTCATCGTCTATGATAAGACAGTCAAGGACCTGGTATAAAACATCTTGGTTTTGGCCTTTCGTTACGATTTAATTTTGACGTCTTCTGTTACATAAATCATGATCTCAGCTCGCGGTTTTGTGATATGCATAAACCAGTTAAATAGGATAATGACTCACCCACCATTCGCAGGCTTATCTAACTGGCCACGACAAAAAGTAACAAATTTAACGTGACTTAGGCGTAGACTGTTGAATGCTCTCGTAACATTTCCGCAAAGATCGCAGGGGCCATTTTCAGGGTTAGTGTCTTTGGAGGCTTTCGGAAGCCGTTATATAGTTCTGTCAGTGGGCGGTGAGTGGGGGGGGGGTGCAGCTGTGATGGGCAAACAAACTATCAGGGTGCTGTCCAATATGGATCGACTGTGCGATTCAGGAAGAGAGGTGACAAAATATTCTTTTTTAGACTCGGTTGTCATAAAGAGTGTAAGACTTTAGACTTATTAGTCACGATGAGTGAAAGTTTTTTCACACGGTTGTAGTTAATAGTTACGATTTTTGAGACTTCATACTCACGAAGAGTGAAAGATCTGTGAGACGCGGTGGTCATGAAGGGAGAAAGAGTTTGGAGACCAGTGGTCATGAAGAGTGAAATATTTTTGAGACCTAGTAACCATGAAGAGTTAAAGATGTGGTCATGAAGAGTGAAAGATTTCTGAGACAGATGCAGCACAGCAGGGGCATTTTGTTACTAAAAGTGACTTAACAGAACTTCAGAAAACAAATGCTGTGCAGCCATCTTACGCGCCTCTTCTACTCTTATACAGGGTGTCTCGGCTTTGAGTGTTCAGATTCTGGTGTCGTAAGACGGACGGATGGGCATCTCGCTAGAGTAACGGAGACCCAGACTTACCCCTCCACCCGCAGATATTATCCCTCTGTCTCCGGTTATCGACACTGTCACAGCGTGGCAGGATAATATAACAGACCTCCCGCCGGGACTATATAGTATTTTCTGCACCCCATCTTCCAGTCACGTGACCACTAATTTGGGGGCGGAAGATACAACTACAACAACGAAGCTAAAGGTAAGGTTGTGCCTTTGCTTAACTGATTAAGCATTACGCCGTGGGGGAGTTGACGTATAGTTCCACGTATTCCTGATATTGACATTAGTCGAAGGTGAGTGTGAGCTTCACACCCCGTCCGCTTTATCCCGGGGAAGAGAGCCTCCAGTACCCATTCCATTGGAAGCTGAATGGCCCTCATAACTGGTCTGGACGACGCGGAGAGGAGAAAAATCCTGCCTATAGAGGGACTCGAACTCCGACCCCTGGCTGTCCACCCCGTACCCAGTCGCTATACCGAATGATCTATCCCGGTTCCCATACTATACAACGGCAGTGTTTTAAAATCAGTGTAAATTATAGATAATAAATCTAGAGTGAAAGAATTTGCTCAGGTTCAGTACTGAACTGCGACCTTGTAAAGAAATGGGCCTCTGGTGTTAACCATTTAAAGCGAAATGGTAACTGTACCACAAGGTTTAAGATAAACACTTAATCTTGCCCACAGAGCGTATTTATATGTTTCCAATGATTCTGAGAATAAACCGCGATTATTTTCCTAGACAGCATTAATCATTTAGTCTTTGTTGTGCAGAGGAAGAATTTAATTTACAAGAAGTTCAGCCTTCTCGCAACTTCTGACTGGCCAAAAGGAACCAGGGGACGCCATTCGTGCTGGGCCAGTAATGATGCCTCGTGGCAGTTAGCAGTGAATGAAAGGCCGAAACATGCAGTAGATGATTAACGTACATTGTATCGACAGAGAATTTGTGCTGACGGAAATAAATACGATTGGAAATACAACACAACATGGTGCTATGATAACAATATTTATAGTAGTACAGACAGTTGCAGCTAGACGGCAGACAATACCCAATGTCAGCCTTCAGATATCTAATGATTAACAGTGGTTACATGTAACCAAAGCCGGTATACAGATTCGAACGAAACATAAATAATAATTCGGTTACCATGTAGTAGATTTCGAAATAATAACAAAAAAGAAAAGAAACATGTGTCCATTGCCCTGTGTTGAACTAAATGAAATGTTAAAGATGCAGGGAATTTAATAACGTCATGGCTATAAGGAACATAATTTTAATGTAAAGAGATAAAATTTGTTATCTTTAGCCGTTGGATTAAAGTAATTCCATTAAGCAGAGACCCCTTTTGAAAACCGACAGTCGCTCAGCCAGTCAAAAAAAAATCCCCTGAATTATATAAGAATTCGAAGGCTCATTCCTGTATTCACAAGGCATTTTCATTGGCCCCAGGCCTGAGCCAGATTAAACCAATCCGCACTCCCAACCTAATTCTCTAAGATCAATTTTAATATTATCCTTTCGTCCGTGACAGGGTCTTCAATGTTATCGCCTTTCTCCACGTCTTGCTACCGAAACCTCTCTTCTCTCCCATTCATGCTTCATGCTATACCCATCTCATCCCATTTCATATGATGATTCTGTTAATAGCTGGCAAGCAGTACAAACGATGGATCTGATCAGTGTGTAGTTTTCTGCAGCTTCGTATGATTTCTTGCCCCTTGGATGCAGATCCCCTCAGCATCCTGTACTCAAACTCCTTCAGTCTGTTTTTTCTCCTTAATGCGAGAGAGAGACTTTTACATATATATAAAACAACAGACAAAACTGTTAAGTAGAATATCACTGTCATAAAAAGATGAAAGTTGTCCCTGTGCGTAATTAAGCATCACACCAAGACGATGTATGTGTAAAGGGAGGTGTAGCTTTATTCTTTTCGTAACTTTGGATCAGATGGAGGTAGGTACGTTGTCAGCTTGACCCCCCCAGCCGCTGCAACCCAGGGAAAAGAGTTCTCTGTATCCATTAGACAGGCTGGTTGGGCATTAGAGTTAGTTTGAACGCCGCGGAGAAGAGAGAAACCTCTCCCCTCGCTAGGAATCGAACCCCGATTTGTTCATCCCCGAGCCTGGTTAGTATACTGAGCTGTTCCTACTCTTACGAGGTTCTTACAGTACAAGGAAAAGTGTTAGAGAAATGAATATGAAACGTCACTTCCTCCCACTTGAGTGGTGAGGTCCGCTGATGTCACTGGAAACCAGCTGGATGTCTCGGTTCTCATGGCAACGCAATGTGACGTCAGTAGCTGTTACGTCCATAATGGTTGGTACCTGCGAGTAAAACGGTTGGAATTTCTGGTCGTTGATAGCTACTGACGTGACGAAGAACCGGAGTCAGTGATAATGTTCACGTGCGTTTTATTTGTTTGTAGCTTACGTATGGAAGGTGTCAGTGTCTCAGTACAGCGCCGAATGGCACCTCCCGAATACAAGTCAGCATTGTTACCTCCTGTGCCAATCTACACGTTTTCAAGATCTGTACATTAATTTTAAGAAGATAGGTCTGTATGGACTGATTCCGTATTAGATTTGATATTCTTATTTGTGAACAGGAGGCACGCGGTAGCTTAGGTGGTTGAGATATTATGCTAGAGGCCGGGAGGTCACGGGTTCGATTCCCGACGAGGTCATTGGATTTTTCAATTTACCTAATCCACTCTGCCGCGCCC